CAACTTGTAAATGATTGTGTGCAAGCCAAATTTATTTTTCAGCAATGTTCCAGAAAACTAAATTTTCATACATGCAGATACTCGCACTGAACAGAATTTTAATTATATTTAAAAACATTTTTGTATCATTAGGTAGGTTGCGAACGGAAGATAACGGACAAAATCTTCTTTAATTAGGGATATCTGACGCTTCGGACCAAAATCGGATATGAACTTCGTAAACATTATATCACCTGCCGCATAAAAAAATCATGAACGTTTTTCAATATTTCTGAATCATATTATTTCAGTTGCTTGCATTGGAATTCTGACCTGCAAAACACTCTCAAATGCAGAATTCAACAACTTTAACAATATAACGATTCAATGCTCTTAAACTTCAAGATGGATAACAATCTATTACGCAATCCAAGCTTGATGTAGGTACCTACGATGTATGTGTTTTACCATTGAACTTCGTCGTGGCTGGTTTCAAGCGTGGGTGAGAAAGGAGGAGTGTTGGAGACCATGGCCAAACCTTCACGAACTGAAATCCCGCCTTTCGTGGATTTGACCTCATCGAAAATTAAACTGACTCGGTCTTAGCCTGGGTTATCAAGGATCGGACTGCTGTTTGAAGCAGGCTGCCAAAGTCTTCGATCAGAACCTGTCCGTAGCCTTCACACAGACGGGGGCGTAGCAGGACAGCAACGGCTCACTAAGATCGACGAAACGTTGACGAACATGCCAAGCAATGCAGTCGCAACGCTTACTGAACAGCGAAAGCAGACAGCTCATGCCACTATAGCACGTCAGAAAAGTCTCCATGAGAAAGAAACCACCAGTAGAAGGTCACGGAATTAGTTGAAGAGTCCCTAAAGTACCAATTCGACGAAGTTCGACTCTCGTCAACGAAGCGTTAAGGCTCTGGAATCCTGAGCGTCTGCGGGTAGAAATCCATTCAACTCAGTCGTCGGTATTACGATAAGTGCTGTGTTGGTCTTGTGGTAGAACCCAACTTCGCTGATAGAATCACTGAATGGAAGCCTGTTCACGGAAGAATGGAACTTCTCCGACTGAAGCTGCAACAGTCTAAAACATTGACTTTGTTACAAACATAAGCGCTCAATTTGAAAAGCGAATATGAATCCTTCTTAATAGAATTAGAGTGTGCTCTGCACGAAATGCCGATAAAGCAGAGTCCATAATTCTAATAGTCGATTTTAATGCACATTTCGGAGCAGACACTGAAAAATGGAAAGACGCGATTGGAAAGAGAGGGTTTAGCGATCTCAACAGAAAAAGATTGAAACTGTCGCGATTTTGAGCAAACAACGGACTTTCCATT